TCTTTTTATCGCTGTGTAACTGAGTTCAATTGAAAGCCTACATGCGCTAGTACCTCTTGCCGCAAGTTCCCAGAATCCTTTGCGGTTTTACCCCTGAATGACGTCACATTTTTGGTGGGCCGGTCTCTAGTCAAAATGCCCGGGCCGATTTTTTGTCCCAGTCCAGCCCTGAGTGTCACAAATTTCCACTGGTTGTTATCGGTGACCTGTCTCGAACTGGGTGGCCCAGTGGAGGGGAACACACACATACAGTAATACACGTGAGCTTGTGGACAAGTACACAAAGCTCTAAACACGTTTAACCACACAAATACATCCATAGATCTGAGATCACCCCACACGCACATGCAGAGCACATACACACAGTTACATGCGTATTTGCCTTCTGTACATATATCCTTGTGCTCGAGTGCTTATATACAGTCTGTCACGCTTAGACATGACACGAACGCACACACCATGACACATGCAGCGTGGAAATAAACAGTTGCAAACAGGGAACGCTGGAGGCCCAAACACAGCTGGCCGGTCTCCTGTGGTGCATGTCAGGGTCACAGATGGCGATGGAAAGAGGCAAAGGGAGGATGAGATGATGAAGGGAGAGGTGGAGTAAAACCTGAGAGATGTGCTGGTAAAGAGAGAAAAGAAAAAGTTTATCCTCCTCCATCTGCCTTTTCTTTTCTTTCTTTCTTTTTTTTTTTACCCCTTTGCCTTTCTTTGTTTTTGGAGCAGCTTCTGATTCTTCTTGTTTTTCCAGTGAAATCATTCCTCAGCTTTCCACACTGCTCAGCATTTTAACTTCTTTAAGCTGTACACAGGCTGTATATAAAAGATGGGCATAGATGGGTGTGGCGGAGGTGTGGTCCCGGGCGCGGCTGCAGGGGAGGAGTGGTGCAGTGGGCTCAATGGGGCTGATGGCGATTTGGACTGATGATGGTTTCCTTCCCTTTTTATAGTGAGACGGAGAGGAGCGGTGGGAGAGGGAAATCAGCTGGGACCGACAGCTGTCAGACTGTGTTCATGTCATAACCTGGGAAAACTATAAATAAATGTGGAAGCTGGTGATAAAGACCTGTGTGTGTGTGTGTACCTGTGTATAGTGCATTTCACAATGGGCTCTGACATCAGCAAGAGGTTCATTATAGGGTCTGGATTTTGACATTTTGGCATAATCATCTTTGGCAGAGGTGATTTATTTCTGTATTTCTAAAAAAAATATTAAGTATGACGTTATCAGCTAATGCTAGCTAGCTTGGTTAGCACATTGCATGCATAAACTGGATGGTTGCAACATAAAGAAAGAGATCACTGTCAATTACAATTGTATTCATGTAAAGTGTTGTAAAGGCTTCTTTCACACTAGATATAATAAAAACTGCATAGGTCACCTTGACTTGTAATTTCAACATCACACATGTTTGGTTGGTCTTTGGTTAAACAGCAATCAAAAATTGTTCAGCTTGTTAAGTTTGAAGAAGGTCACTGAGCTCCATGCCGCTTTCTTCTGTTTAATAGCATTGTTTTCTGGTGATTTCACAGTGGTACATATAACCACAAGGGGTCCTTTGGTGTTGGTGCCTTGGCGCACAGGCTGTGGAAATTCTGAACATTAAGAAATGATGTTGCTCATGCCTTCCAGCATGCCTGGAAACGCCTTGGTGTTCCTCTGGCTGAGATGGAGTAGATGGATGGTCAGGTCTAGGCTTGCTGCTGTTGGCCCCATAGCCACATAGCAGACAGGTCTGGTCGGATCTGGTGTCAAGCTGGCACTGCTGCCTGACTTCTGGCATGGTAAGTGGTATGTCATCCAGATACGGGCCACGCCTGGCATATATGGCACTGTTTATGTGATGGCAGCCACATCTGGCCTGATTTTGGTTTGGTTTATGTGGGCCAGGCTCATAGAAAACAGGTCTTGCCCAGATCTGGCATCAAGCTGGCACTTCTGACTGACTGGTGTCATGGCAGGGTGTATGTCAACCAGATGTGGGTCAGGTCTGGCAATGATGGTACTATTTATGTTCCTATTTTCCTATTTCAGTTAGAAGACCCAAATGCCATGTTGCAATACTATACTGCTATGGTAGCCAACGTTTCAAATGCAGGTTTGAAAGGTTTGTGAGTGTACACTTTATCCAAAACCTAGAGAGGGTTTACGCATGTTTACCACTGTGTGGCTGTAGATCAGGTCACCTACTGATCGGAAGGTTAGTGGTTCGATCCCTGGCTCCTCCAGTCTGCATGTCAAGAGTGTTAATGTCTATAAATGTAGTTAGGAAGCACTCAGTTTAGAGAAAGTGTGTGATTGGGTGAATGTGGCATGCTGTATAGAGCACTTTGAGTAATCCGGGAGAGTAGAAAAGTACTGTACTGTATAAGAATCAGTCCATTCACTGTCTGAACAGAGTTACTTTTGCACTATTATGTTCTGGCACATGTTGTTATTGCATGGCTTGATTAAGGTACACATTAGGCTGACATCTGGGGCCAAAGCTGAAACTGTTCTGGGCCAGCACAGGGCCAGCAGTGTGTCTGCAACTGGCCCGTGGCTGCACACAACTTACACATTGCACACATACTGCAAAGAATGACGGCCCTTTGGTGGCCCAGATCAGGTTTGCCAGAGGTAATCCACACATGGGCCAGCACAGGACTACCAGTGTGTCTGCAACTGGCCTTGTGCTGGCCCATGTGTGGGCCACCTTTGGCAAACCACATCTGCCCCACCAAAGGGTCGTCATTCTTTGTGGTATGTGGGCCATGTGTAAGCACATTGTGTGAGCCAGATCCAGGCCATACCAATTTTGCTATGTGGGTATAAGTTGTAGAAAATGGATGGATGGATGTTTTATTATGGCACCAAAAACCACTTGATTAGCATTTGAAAAAACAAAACATTGGTTTGGTTTGAAATATGGCTTACAAAATTGACCAAACATATTAAAAAATGGAACTAACCAACAACACGGGGGCCTGTACAAGCCACAAGTCACTAGGTCCATCATTGCACAGAGAGCAGTATACACCTTGTGCCTCTGACATACCTGTGAAACTGCCACTTCCCATGGTTCAAATGGTTAAACACTTTCACTTTTATAGTGTTTTAGAAGGTTATCATTTTACTTTTTTTTTTGCTCATATGCAGACTATTATCTTAATATTACTAATTAATAATATTACTGTTTAAGTGCTCACGCATTCCAGTTGACAATCAAACCACCCCATCATGTTAGAAGGAAGGAATTATATAACATACAAAGCAAACAAAGGTCTATCTCCCCCTTTTTTTAAAAGACAAAAAAAACAAAACTGCTACCTTGTTATATCATGCATTGTTGTCTTACTTCTATAGCTTTAGAAGAGGCAATGCATATGATCTTAAGGGTAACCCTAGACTCAACTTTCTTCTGGATAACATCAGCAGATTCTATAGGAATGAAAAGGCAAGTCCAGACATCAGCCCCTACCCACGAGATGTGCCTCTCAGGTCTATGAAGAGCATGAAAGTAAAGACCCCCTGTCAGACATACACATACATTAAACGTGTTTGGAAAGTATACTGTGGGTAAACACTCAAGATTATTAAGTGAATATAAGTCAGAGTAGAAGTAAACACACAGTGTTGGATCCACGCAGATGATCATGAATAAACATGTTTAACAGTCTTTTGCGAGTAAACATTTGCAAATTGAAAGTTTCAGGCTTTTGTCTGGAGTGAGCTTGTTGTGTATCGTGGCAGATGTTGGATCTGACACTCGACCGTTGGAGGGGTTCTAGACCTGACACTTGACCACTAGTAAGCCTACTTTCAAGGATGCACTTCTGCTGCACCTGGGTCAGCAAAATGAAGGCAGCCATGTATTTAATTGGGCGCATAGCATGCCAAACAACTTAAACTTTGTTTAATATACAGTGAGCACATGTTGCACATTTACTTGATGCTGAAAAGAATTTAGAGAGCTCGTATACTGTATACGATTACAATGAAACCTAGGGATGGGTATTGATAAGATTTTCACGATTCCGATTCCATTTTCGATTCTGTTTAACGATTCGATTCTTTATCGATTCTCGAATCGATTCTTTTTTTAAAAAGGAGAACACTAAGGTCGATTAGCTTAGAACTTTGTTTTATATCTTCTCTTTGAACAAGATAGAAATTTAGGAGTAACATGGCCTTACAAACCAAACAGTGAGATCTTAAGAGATCCAGCCTACGGCTCTTCAATGGGGTGTCACAGAGTCCCCAGGAAAAACATTCTAAATGTAAAATATTAAAATAAATATTCTTCTGTAACAATAACAAAGTATAATATAAATTATTCTGTAGCAATTACACAAGAATATCCAGTAATGTCCCTGCCTACAATTAAACACATTCACTTACTGAAAATCGGGGCATCTACTGTGGCAAATGGGTTCAAGCCTTTGACCACAAACTTAGTCTCTGCTCGGTGACATTCGTCTATCCTGGCCTGAAAGGAGACGCTACCGGTAGACTGCAGCGAGAACTGCCAGCATCTGATCCAGACTCTGTCTCTCTCATCATGGTCACCTAAATGCACAGTAACGGCAGGTTTTGTAATAAGGCAGATCGCACTAACATAATAATAATGGATTGGATTTATATAGCGCTTTTCAAGGCACCCAAAGCACTTTACAATACCTCTATTCATTCACTCTCACATTCATACACTGGTGGAGGCAGCTACAGTTGTAGCCACAGCTGCCCTGGGGCAGACTGACAGAAGCGAGGCTGCCATATCGCGCCATCGGCCCCTCTGGCCAACACCAGTAGGCAAGTAGGGTAAAGTGTCTTGCCCAAGGACACAACGACCAGGACAGAGAGCCCAGGGATCGAACCGGCGACCTTCCGGTTACAGATGCGATTCCCAACCCCCTGAGCCACGGTCGTCCTCAAATATGCACTGTTAGTTTATTATTTATTCGGGGCGACTGGAATCAATAAGGGAATCATTTGCAAAAATGGCAAACAATTCCAAGGAATTGAAACAGTGGGAACCGGTTCTCAACAAGAACCGGTTTTCGATACCCATCCCTAATGAAACCTGATTACTGGGAGTACATGTTTTCCACTAATGGACGATTCAAGCAAGTCCAACACAAAGTCACAGACCGTGTAATGTCCAAATCTCCCCTGGGATTAACAGTAGCACAAAAACCGCCCTCTGGGAGATTCAGGGACTGAGTTTTCATGGCCAGGCAGCTCCTGTAGGAGTAATGTGTAGGTGGGCCAGTAGTTTTTAAACACACCAGCTTCTCATGTTATGTTTCCCTTCTGTCTGTTTTACTTGCCTAGCTGCCTTTGTATCAGTGTCCTTGTTACCAATTTGTTTCCCCTACAGTTGGATGTAGTCTAAGTTTACCTTCCTGGACTGTCCTGGAGATTTTTGAGTTAAGAAGTTGTTCTTACCAGGAACTGCAACATATGGAGGACTGGTTGTTAGACCAGTCTTAGCTGGACTGCATAGCTGAACAAAGACTAAAACCTGCAGACCAAGATGCTGAAGTTAGAGTCCAGTCATGGTCTACGGTGGGTGGCTGGAGTTTCCATTAGGCTCCTGAACTGACCTGGGATCCGCCCCTGGGCAGGGCCAACTCCAGCTCCTGCACACCTGGAGCCTATTGCAGGCAATCAAGCCAGAGGGATTTAAACCACACATCGATGTTCATTCACTGCCAGTTCGTCATCAACCCATGTTGGTAACAGGTCTTGTGCTTCAAATTCTCGCTGTGATTTATCTTACTAACAAGACTCTTTTGTACTACAGTTGCTGTACCCACCCTGGCTCACACTCCACCTCCGGACTCAGGATACCTAGTGATCATTTTGGAAATCCCTCTGTGCCTCACCTGCCTGCCCTCCTGCCATCACACTCCATCTGGAGCCCCGGATCTCAGGTCAGCCTTTCCACGCCACTCAGCCTCCCCTGGATCTTCATCACCCCCCCTCTCAAACACTCCAGGTCCCTAACTGCAAGTAAGAATTGCTGCTCTTATACTGGCCACTTCTGAGCTGCCTTCACTACCTGCCTAACTCCTATATCCTCTTCCCTCAGTGTGACTGTTCCCCACTCAGCTCCGTTCCGCTTCTCAGGCCTCGTTCCCTCGCCCTAGCCACGTTCCCCAGGGCACGCCACACCAAGGCTCCACGTCTCGTCATTTTCTGTCCTTGCCACGTTTTTTTTTCCCTTTGCACTTAACCGTAATAAACTGTTAAATCATCTACTGTCTCCGCTCTGGGTTTCTGCACCTGAGTCCTATTCGGTACCGGCCATCCGTCGCCGTGACAGTTCATTCTCTACAGACTCACTGCCGAGGCAGCTGACCTTATTGTCTGGTGAAACATGCTCTCATTTGTCGAAAAGTTTAAATCTGTGAGAAATGTTTGAGTTACTTGAGAGCTCATTTTAACCCTGTAACACAAGAAAGCTTGCTTCTGTCTTCACTCCAGCAATGAAGTATCTTTTGCTTTTATGTTGTCCAGCAGCAGAAGGTGCTCAGCACGCCTTAAACACACGAGAGAACACAAGAGATGATCAAGTAGCATTCACATTGTGAAGCTCATTGTCCTGATATCTTCACCTTTTCTATGAGATAATCTTAGCTGTCTGTAGCTCTGTAAGTGTGTGTGTGCTGAGTTTCATAGAGAGGAAAATTTGACTGTTCTGTCATGTTTAAAGGTCTCCTTTGACATTTATGTTTGAGCTTTAGGGTGTTGGGATTAGCAGTACAGTGTAATACCTGTGTCTGCTTGTCCAAATGTACTCACGTGTTTCTGTTAACAGTAGTTCTTTGCCGCGTGCACGTGACTATGTTTTGTCTCGCCGCGTTCACCGTTACATCACTCGGCTTCTACTCTTGAGTTTTTTCCCCCGCTGATCTGCAGCTTAGCATCTGTTTGCACATATCATCCCTCATCTTTAAAGTCTGGGTGTGGACAGAGGGAAGTGAACAAGCACCAGTGCCCAAGCACATCTCCGCCCTGCTCAGGTGGAACCTGGATTAGAGCCCAGAAGTGAGGATCCCGGGGGACAAAAAGAATCTGAATCAGTGCTCTCTCATTCGACAATACACCAGGAAGAATTTGTGGTTTAACAAAGGAAGGATAACAGACCCAAATCAAAAGTTGAAATCTGAGAACTGAGATGCACAGACTATTAATCAGCATCAAATCTGAAGTCTCTCCTTTGCTTTTCTTTCTTTTGCTATTATTTTCTAATTCCATAGATTTCCCATCATCCTTGCCTCTTTTCCTTTAAAAAAATATTTTAAAGATTTCATTGTGATTAGGAAAAATGCTCCAAATCACTTGCCGTGCTTCTATTTTTAGCTTCTTGTCTCTTTAGCCTCTTTGCCAAAGGTTCAATCTGAGCACCCTCCCTATTTGTTTTGGTCTCCCCCCCATTTCTATCCCACTCTTTCTCCCTCTTGTTTCCCTCTCTGTTGCCCTCCTTCTGTCATTGTGATTAGACCAATAGAGGAGATCAGAGGGAATAAAAGCATGACCAGCACCAAAGACCTTTCCCCTCCTTCTCTCTTTCTCTCTCCCTACTCTGTGCCAAGCTCACTTTCTCATTGTTGTAAATTTTCCTCCACTTTTCTTTCTCTACAATCACACAATGCAGCAGCAGCAGTTGTAGTACTTGTAGCAGGTGAAGTTGCCAATAGTATTCTTTGGTCTGACCTTCTCTATTAATATTCTTTGCTAAAAATATTTATAAACTGTCTTCTAGAAAAAAAATGCCTAATTCCAGGAATCTCTCTAGTTTTATACTCAAAGAAATTTTAAAGCCATTTGGATTGGAACTTTTGAGCAAACCTCAACCTTGATTATTGCTCTCACAGTCTGGGGTCATATGATCTAATACAGAAAACACATAAGCTCCACCCTGCAAACTTTCAAACCTCATCACAACATATCCTCATCCACATCTGTCCTCTTCATCTTCGTCAGATGTCAACTGACGTCTTTCTATCCCTCTCTCCTCTTCATGAGCAGTCAGTGAAATGTCAGCCAAGACCCTCGAGTTTGACCCTGGAGAGAGGTTCAAACAGCTGTTTCATATAGAGCATTTTTTCTTGGGTTCACACAGAAACAATCAAGACTGCAACACTTTATTTGAGCAGGTGACAAAATTTCAGGCATCATCAATAAATTCAGAGATCCATACGAGCACTCGTCTATCTCATCATCGGATCCATGATGTTTTGTCTCGTGTAGTTTAAGACTCATGGGTCAGCTTATAAAGGTTCTCTCTCTCTCTCGCTGTCTCTCTCTGGGTGGCCTATAAACTCCAAAAGAGCCGTGTGATGTTCCATAGATATCTCAGGAATGGAACCCAAAAGGTTAATCTGCAGTTCACTTGGAGTTTATAAGCTGCAAAATAGACATGTTCAGGTCTGTGATGACCGGGGAGTCTCTATCATCTGATGCATTGTTGTTCAGTGCCAACAAACTGACATGTAGTGAAGATTTTTTTTAGTTTTTGGGCCTCTGAATAAAAAATAAACTTGCCTCTGAGGTCCACATCATTACAACTGAAAACCCTAACCCTTTATTTTGGAGAAAAGCAAACTGGACTTTTTTGGGAAAACTGAAGTTTTTCATGAGCAAAAGTTATCTGTGTTCCTTGACAAGGCAATCTAACAGAAGTAGAAAGTGACATATTCTTATTGGATGGGATTAGAGTAAGGGTTAAGGTTGGGGTCTTGACTGATGATGACCCAAAAAGTCAGACAGTTAAGGTCAAGAATAAAACTTTATGAGCTTTTCTGCAAATTTCTGCAGATACAACAACATATAAACCACATTCATTTTTTTACCATTAATATGTAACAGATATAATAAAATCAAAGTGTATGACTGAAGAGTTGAAGTTACACCTTTCTAGAAGGTAAATCTGCATCTGAACGTCTTTTCCTTCAGTATTTATAAGCAGTAAAAGATGTTTATCAGCGTTTCGTATTGCATGATCTTTGTTTCAGTTTTTGTAAGTTCATGTAGGATTCATATTCTTGAGCTTGAAATCCGTTCCAGTAGTGGATGTTCATATTACATATTACAAGTAATCCCTGTGACCTGAAAGGCTTTAGACTGCTCTGAATGATCAGTTTCAGACAGCTTTAAGACATCTTAGGCACACCAGCTACACCATCAGCCAATCAGAGGAAAGTTGTCTCAGGAGACAGGAGCTAAAACAGCTTGTTTCAGAGAGAGACTGCATCGAGGCACCGAGATAAGAAAAAGAGGGATCAGTTTGAACTGTGAATCATGCAAAGCTACTCTAGGGCACTCCAAGAATAAAAATATGTCATTTAGAAATTTACACAAAAGGTCTACTTTAAAGTGTGATTGCTTGTTGAGGCCGCTGCTTGAACATTAAAATGAAACTTTATCTATTATAATTTAAAAAAATTTCCATAAGGACCGAATCTCATATAGAAAAGCTCCTGTAAATGCAGATCACCAGAGGAGTGTTTTAGAGCTTCAGTAGCCGAATGTCACGCACACTGAACCTGTGTTGAGTGCAGATAAATGAGAAAACACAAAACTCATTTGGAAGAAGTCAATGCACACATCAGACATCATTACTGTATGAACTCTGTGTGAGCATGCTGCTTCTCTTACTGGCTGAGTTATGCTGACATGTGCTTCTCTCTGCTGCTGTTTCAGAACCATGAACAGCACTTTTAGTTGCATGCTAGTTGTATGATAGTTCTTCTACTTAACCTGACCATGTGAGCTCTCAACTGATACCATCACTACCTAATACACATGATAAAAATAATCAATAGTAATAATGAAAAATACCCAACAAATGTTGTAAAAAATCAGCAAAGTCCTCCCATCCTCAATCCCGAGAATCAGCACAACCCTAGCTTGCCGTCACATGGCGCAATAATAGTAATAATAACTGTTGAAACGATGTGGGCTTCATAGATAATTGGCAAACCTTCTGGAGGAAACCTGGTCTTGTTAGGAGAGACGGCATCCATCCCACTTTGGATGGAGCAGCTCTCATTTCTAGAAATATGGACAAATTTATTAAACCCCCCAAAATACGACTATCCAGAGTTGGGACCAGGAAGCAGAGTCTTTTTTTTTTTTTTGTCCCGTTTGGATCTATAGCCATCAGAATTGTTGTCTTGAGGCCAAGAAAGATGCCAAGCGGATTTATTTTACCAAGTGGATCATCATGGCCTTGCCATATTGGTCCATTTGGTTGACCTTTATTATAATTATGAATTTATTTTATTTTCAGTTGCAAACGGGACAGACATAACTGTGGGATAGGACAGGGGGAAAGAATGAAAGAAAGAGGGGGAGAGAAAGAAAGAAAACCAAAGGGGAGAAGAGACGGTGAGAAGGGGGGGAAGAGAGTAAAAAAACAAACAACAAAAAAAAAAACTCCTGGGTCACCTGTATGGAGAAAAAAAAAAACACAGAGGAGACAGCAAACAACAAAGAGCAACATAATAATAGAAAAAAAAAAGCACCATCACAATAAACTAGCTAGCCATAGATATCAATAGTTACTAAATAATAAACGATATTGTGCAGCACGCAAGATAGACAGCACACAGTGTGCTTTGAGGCAGCAGCCAAGAAAGCTGTAGTCCGCGTCTGTGAATACCCATGTGTACACCTGTGTGCATACCTGTGTGGATCAGCATGCTTGCATTCCAAAGGTTTCTCCATGTAATGATCTGCTAGGGAGTGTGGGGAGCCACAGCCCTGTCCTTTATGGTATCAAGCAGGTATGGAGGAGATCAAAACTCCAGACATCCAGAGGCCCCCAGAACACAAGAGACCAAGGAAGACCAACAGAGGGACAGCTGCGCCACTGTCCCAGTAAGAGCTAAGGAGAGTCCCAGATGAGGGCTCATTCAGCAGTCGCGGAGCAGAAGCCAGGGGGAGTTGCAGTGATGCACCCGTGAGCTCCGCCGGCAGCCAGCTGTGCCTGAGTGACCGAGCCCCAGGCCGAGAGGCCGGGGGCACCCCACCTCTGAAATGGCCTGAGCGAGCCCCAATAAGCTGCCGCCAAGGAGTGAGCCGGTGTGTACCCGGACGCCCACCCCCAGATACAAAGAACCACCAACGCACCGACACCTGAGGGAGTCCGCCACCGGCAGGGGAAGTGGTGGTGGGTGGAGATAGGCCTCCAAACCTTGGAAGGCCCGAGATGTCCCCAGAGAGGTGGCGTCTGATACCCAACCTGACAT